CCCCTGGTTATGACCCCCTGCAGGGAACCACCTAGGGTGCAGGTATAATTTTGTGATGAATGATAAAAAATTGCCCAATGTAAATGCCAAGCCATAGAAATATTTTTATTACCATGGTCATGACAACTACCCTGTCAGTTTGATTGCAATGTCAAAACTTTTTATTTACACTATAAAATAACACATACCTACTCTGAGAAGGGGCAACAAAAACTCAGTTTTCTCCATTCCTATCCAATTCAAATCATGCTGGCCACGAAAACAATTCCCTGATTGCCGATACAATAAATTGCCAAATGCCTGACAATTTGGGCTAGCGACGCCCTGAATGCTACAATGATAGCAACCTCTATTGCTATTACATCTCCAACCTTGAATGTCCTATTTAGTACAGTAGTTAATTAATTAATGGCAGTAATCAACATGAAGTCAACATATTGTCCAGAAGTACAGTGAAATAACAAAATATTTCAAACAATTTGTTTTGCTTTTGCCAACGCATGCGCAGTTCGGTCGACATACAGTTTTCTGTATGTCTGACATGGATTATCCCAGAGCCTTCGTTTCCTTCCCAAGGATCGCAGGCTCGGGGAACGAGATTGATGGCGTTCTTGCTTTTTCGTGTCCAGTCCCCGGCCGAGTAATTTATTGTCGACATCTTAAACTGCTGCATGTCAGTGGAGATGTCGGTCCATTTCCAGGGGTTCATTAAGTATTCAAGTTCGTTTGTAAAATGAGAGGGTTGTTCAACAAAATTTTCTTCAATTTGCCTCAAAGATTTGTCTTTAAGTGTTTTACCCGAAATTTTCACTACATAAAAGTGTTTTTCAGTACATAAAGTGATTATATTTGTGAGTTTAGTTTATAATTATATTCAGTGTTTATTTATCGATGTGATGAACCGGTTTAATAAAATTGCGATTATCTAAGGAAACAGGGTTCATTATAAAGATTTATATTTTGTAATGATTTTAATATCATTTCTTTTATCTCTGCTATGAAGACTATTATGCCCTCATTTTCATGTTGGTTATTTACGCATGTTCCGTGCATACAATTTAAGAATAAGTTTGTGATTGGGCTTAAATGATCAACGAGAAACAAATTTGTGCAGAAAACATAGAGGATTATAACCTTCATGTGCAGGTATGCCAATGATGAAACATGGAAATGAGGCCATTAGGTCAAAAGTAAACTTCCCTTGAGAGAATTGTCTAGAAGTATAAACATAGTATGTGTATAACTATTCAAGTTAATTTTGCATTAAGATCATGTGGCAAAAAGGCAGCACTCACTTTCCTTGCGATAGTAACTCCTAATATAGTTGGGGGTATCTTTCCTTTGCTTAATAAATATATGCAAGTAGAATGTAGTTGGCTCTGTGCTTCAAAGGTTTTTCTCCGGGATTTTCGCCTTTCCTTCCTTACCAAAAAGTAACCTTTAGGGCTGGACCATTAGATATCCTGGTAGAGAGGGTAATTTTTCTTGCAAAAATTTTATTTTAAGTACAGAGGCAGAGCTTTGTCCAAATCTTTATTACGGTGTAGAAGCCAGCTGTGTAGGAATTTGTCTATATATTTCTTTGTCGGCCATGTAGTTGCAGGAATTTTTTTTCAAATTCCACTCTACATAGTTTTTTTTGGAATCTGCCACCTTCCCCCGTCCCAGGGGCCAGGACATGTAGTGGTACACACCTTTTGCCTTAGTTTACGATCCCATTAGCGTCTGCCCAGCATGGTCTGACCACGCAAAAACGAGTTCTTGATTGTCAAATGTAGTTTATTCTACCTTTGCAGTTAGCTGCCACGCTGGAGTGGAAGGCTGATCAAGAGTGAACTCAACTGTAGATGGCGAGTAGTAAGTGTGTTTCAGGTCGAAAGTATAATTACGCTTTGTATAACATTTAGTATAACACAAGTAGAAAATAATTTGCGTAAGTTTGGATAGAAAATAATGTCTTGCACAATACATGCATTGGCTGAAAACCGCTGTGTGTATTGTATAACTTATAATATTGTGTATTGTATAACTTTTAGTATAGGAGCTAGTTAAAAATTAGCGATCATTTATTGAGTGCATGATTTAAACTATGTTTACATTGTATCGCATCGATCTTTGCTTCGTGAAACGTTACAGTCCAAGTGTAAACAGCTTCCAACCCCGCTCTTCTATGCTTTTGTTTTTTCTTCTACGGCATATTTACCAGAAACAAAAATACTGCAGACGTTATTTGAAAGGGTGAGCAAGCTATTAGCTATATCCGCAAATAAGGTTAGAATAGCAAGTTCTTGTTTGCTTGCCTCCATCCTGAGTCGCAAATTGAACCAATGATTGATGTTTATATAAAGGCCATTTTCTATTGCGGAAAATGCATCCGTGCAGGCAAAGCGACCGATTTTAATGGCGTGAAAAATCAGTTGCGCGCGGGCATGCCAAGAAAGTTGAATGTAGTTCTAATTTCATGGCGTGTCCGCAAGCATTCAAGCGGACAAAAAATGCACAGGATAGGCAATTACCGAGAAATTAAGTTGAGTAACGTTTGCTCCGCCCGCTCGGGCAAAGCGACTGCAATGGAAAATTGCCTTTACAACGAGAGTGTTGCAAAAAGTAATCCGACACAACACGCACTACTTGGAAGAGCGGAGCACCGCACTGGTGCTTTGATACAGAAATTGATACGATTAGTACTGTAACTGTACTGTAACTGACTTTTTATCTAATTCACTTCTTATTTTGACTTTTATATAGTAATGGCAAATATATACTAAATTTTAAATGGAATGATGTAAATATACTAACATTTTTATTTAAATTTTCTAAAATACTGTAAAGCGCCATTGAGCTATAGAAAATGGCGCTACAGAAATACATGTTGTTATTGTTATTATTATACGATTACATCATTTCATATGTGAACACAAGCCCTGTTCGGTATGGTTTTGCGTCGCTACTCAAGCTATCCGATCCAATATATGGTATTTATAATCTATATAGCACGACTTGTAAATAGTTTGAAACCGTGAGTAAACTGAAAAGTTTTCATCATTGAGGGTCCTGAAGGGGGGGTCCCAATCCCATTTCCCACCTGAAATTTTGGCAAAATCCCAGTCACAGTTGGATTTTTATTAGAAATCCCAGTCCGAGTTATTGAAATCCCAGTCAATAAAAAAACCTTTATTTATCAGTACAATAAACAGTTTTAAGACTTTTAAGCCAATGTGTGTGCAAGTGGTACACACTTTATAAATTTGGGGGAGGGTTGTGCCGAAGGCACGGAAAATTTTTAAATTTGAATCCCGGAAATGGCATTTGCAGCATTCTGAGACACGCATAATCAGAAAACCCAGAATTCCGGGCGCCAGAG